ACAGCTGCTATGATGGCATCATTGCTAGAAAATGTTACCCACGCAGTCCATCTTTCAGTGGTGCAAATGGATGGAATTCAGAAGGTTTCAGAAGGTGCCAAATCTGGGCAATACAGGGGCTGTGGTAGGACAGTCCAGCCAAAATTGGTAATGTGTTTCATGGTCTTCAAACTGGTATGGCACCTGGCATTATTGTGTTGCAAAATAAAGATTATCTTCTTCTTGGGCCTGACTACAGAAGTTTAATCCGTCTGCTTAGTTGGTGTCTTGATGTAGCAATCAGAGTTGATGGTTTGCCCATGTTCACAAAATCCAGAAGGATCATCCCTTACCTATCCCCAAAAAAACAGTGCACTTTACCTGTTGAAGGCTGTGTCCTGAACTCTTTCTTTGAACTCTTTCTTCTGTGGAAAAGTCACATGTTGCCACTCCATGGACTGCTGTTTTGACTCTGTCTCATAGTGGTGACACCATGGCTTGTCTCCAGTGATGATGCAAACAGTCACCTTCAGCCTTGTATTTGTTCAATGGGTCCTGACAAACTTGCTTACAGTGTTCTTTCTGTTCCTATGTGAGCATTTGTTTATCCCTTGTGGCACACATTTTGCTACAGTCCAGTGTTGCCGCAACTGTTTCCAATGCATGAAGCCAATATTCAGCTCTGTACACAGTTCACTGGTCACAATCCACCAATTTGCACAGATGAGCTGATGGAGATACCCTTCACTTCGTGGTGTGATAGCTGTGTGTGGCCATCTGGAATGTGGCCTGTCTTTTATGTTGCTGTCACCATTGCTGAAATGCATCACCCAGCACCTCACTGTACTCATATCCACTGCTTGATCTTCATGAACATTCAGCAAGCATCAATGAATGTCAATGGATGCCATTTCTTCCACATGAAAGAATTTAATTTCATGCCTTTTCTTTATATGCAATTCCATATCAGATGCCATTTTATCAGACTGCTCCTCTGCTGCCATATGACACACAACAGAAAAATGTAATGAAATATTGGTGGGAAGGTTCAAACTCTACTGCCATACCAACACGATCTGCCTCTGATGTTACGGACCAACGTAATAAAATAGGAGATGTTACTTTCAGGATTCCCTCTTATTAACATAGCCCTGAGTTGTGTGATTGCATGCTTTTCCTCACTCACTTGCACAGCAGTCTAAACTGTTTTGGGCAGAAAATAAAAGAATTAATTGGGACTGTGGTATGAAAGATGGTGGTATTTGTGAGACCTTACTTCATGTTTCAGCAGTTAGGATGATGCAGCCCATCAAGGAATCTTCGCTGGCACAACTTGAGTCCATTCCCTCTTGTCCTATTGCTAGCTACATGGGAGAAGAGGCCGACCACCACCTCACCACTACCTCCTTTCATGTTGTTGTAGAGAGTGATAACATCTCCCCTGAGCCTCCTCCAGACTAAGTAATCCCAGTTTTCTCAGCTGGTCCTCCTAAGACTTATGCTCCAGATCCTTCACGGCTTCGTTGCCCTTCTCTGAACACGCTCCAGTGCCTCAGTGTCTTTCTTGTAGTGAGGGGCCAGAAACTGAATGTGGCACTAGAGGTGTAGCCTCACCAGTGCTGAGTACAGAGGGGTAATCACTTCTCTGCTTCTGCTGGCAGCACTATTTCTGATACAAGCTAGAATGCCATTGGTCTTCTTGGCCACCTGGGCATTCTGCTGGCTCATGTTCAGCCGAGCATCGACCAAAACCACCAGGTCTGTTCTCTCTATATAGAATAAAGAAATCTTGTTGCATGTGACTCTGATGAGAAAATCATATTATTAGAGATTTTAAAAGAAATTGCTATCTGAGAATATCAATCACAGTGGTAACTGAGAGATACTTGCTGTTAATTGGATTTGAAAAGAGTCCTCACATAATATGACTTAAAAGACCAAGGTTGTGAGACTTACGCAACTTGTTTTAGAATATTTCATGTCAGCAGCCTGAGATCTGAGAATTGTTAGCAGGCACCCTGACTGGAAAGGACAAGGTTTCCCAAGTTCAGTATTACCTTAGACAAATGGTATTACTTGGTTTAATGTTTATTCTTGAATTCACTTGGATTTTGCCCTTCTCTTTCAGCATTAAGAAGAATTAAAATTCTTAACATCTGCTGATGCAAAAAATGATTAAGACAGATAACTTGGTTGATATAATTCCATATTGAAAACAAACTTTTACTGGCACTCTAGCTGTTAGGAATTGCAAGGTGGGTAGCAGTTTTCTACCTCATTTAATTCATATAAACATTTACTATCAAGTACTATGCCAGATATTTTACACTCCATTTACATTCAAATGGTTTTTCTAGGAAATATGAATGAGAGTAATCTGGCATTCAGACTCCTTTTCCAATAAACAAAACAAAAACCACCAGCACAACCCCCAAAAGCTGCATTTTTACAGCATTTTCCTTCTATTTTCATGCTTTTAGGTAAACTTTGCTTGAATGTCAGTAGCAGTGAAATCTTCCTAGAGGATCTAGAGATTCTCAGGTCACTTATTTTATTTCTTGAATTTGAAGTATTACATTTGCTATTTAATTTGTAAATCCACCTTCAAGGTTATTGCTTTTTGAAACATTTTTGATCCAGTGAGTTGTCTTTTCTGATGGACAGATGATGATCTTCTACTACAAAATGGACTGCTTAAATTTGAACAGTGGCCTAACCATCTCAATTGATGCTATAGATAACATAATTGATTGCCGAAAGAATGCCTTACTTGCTTTTCCAACTCACACTAGTCTGATTGTACATTATGAAACTATAAGACTTGGTCAGTTAGGGCCTTTTGTTGTAAGTAAGTTTATGAATAGCACCAAGAAGAGGTGTATACAGCATTTCATAAATTTATTCAATACTTCAGTAAAATAAAATTCACAGCATAACTTTATTCAATATCATTTCCTGTTGTAAAATGCATAAGCTGTGGCACAGTGTTTAAGTAACTAATCCACACACATTAGATGAATATTTTATGTCTTGTTTATATAATATCTGATTAAAGTATGAATAAACTTTTCTTTGCTCCAATTAGTACTGCATATATCAGATTGGGAACTGGAACTCTTTCCTGGAAAAGAAGAGGGAATATGGGGAGAAAAATAGATTAAATTAACTTATAACAGCTAAGATCCTTAGTTGGCATTGAGTAGTAGAAGCAAAAAAAAAAAAAAAAAAAAAACCAAATGAATAAATAGAAAATATTTTTATCATATTTTTTCTTCCTTGGAGAAAAACTGTAAGGTAATCAAGAATTACAGACAGCACATAGCATTTTAATTAAGGACACAATTATCTTTTTACTGTGTGTCCAGTGTTATATAGAGAGTAATCATTCTTCTTCCAGCATATACGCACATTATGAATATATATATCCCTAGGCATATAGAGAAGGTCTATACTTTGAAACACAGCTTCAGCCAATCACTTCACCTGCTTGTTTGTTCTAGAGTTGTAGATTCCATACGGTATTTATGGAGCAGATACTACTCAGTTAATACAGTGCTTTTCTCATTTGAGGGTATTGTTTTGGAAAGTATCACTTTAGTCCTGAGGAAATAAAACAGTTTGGCAAGAAGTATCAGGAGGCTTGGCTAGAGTTCCTATACGTATCTCTGAGACAGAATTTTCTTCAACAGTACTCTCTTACCTCTTGACAACTTGCACTGAATGATTTTTATTTTTTTCTCCCCTTGAACTTTTCATTCTCTTGTGGTTAGATTGAACTGTGTTTTTTGGAGCAGAGGTACTCAAGCATCGGTTTTTTCCTCTCTTTAAGATCTGGTATGGTTCTTGAGCTTTGTGCTGAGGGACTTCACCTGGTGACTTTCCTTTTGGCTGAGTTCATGCATTGTGCTTAAGCTTCTGGAAAGCTAACGTTTATCTGTTTAAACAAGCCTGCGAATTCTAATGTGAATTGAATAATCTTTAATCTGTAAAAGTTAAAGCTGAGAACTGCATGGAAATAGTTGTTTCTGACCTGGAAAAAAGCCAAAAATGTTTCATATTAACTTCAGGGCTTCTAAGTTATTTACCAGGAGTTTTGTTCAGCCAGAATAATCCAAAACAGCAAGATGCCTGGCCCCATTCCTTCCATGTATTTTAACAGAAAACAATATAAACAAACTTGTTTTTCTCTGGCTCAGTCCTTGTTCATCCTTAGCCCCACACAGTTATTTTATATTTTGGATTATGAATCTAGACAGGTAGAATTTTACTTGATGGAGGTGGTCCTAGCAGGAATTCTGAGATTTCTCTTTAGGGTTTAATGTGTGCAAAATATGACTGTCTCTGTATTTGCAAGGTATCCTTTTAGGAAAATTAGGTAGGACCTACTAAGTGTGGAGGAAGTTGAAAAGTTGGCCTTGCTCTTGGCTATGGCAAAACAAATATTTTGGCATTCAATTATTATATTTTTTATGTCTGACTTCATGGATGTTTCTGGACTTAGCATAAATATACTCTATGTTTTCTCTTGATGATAAAGAAGATTGGTACTGTGTACCTTTATGTAAAAAAAATAACGTTCATTTAGTCTAATTACTAACTACTGAAACAAAATTGAAAGCAGACTGATATTTTAAAGAACCTTCATGAAACACATAATGCTCAAAATCTGAATTGGATGTTAAAATAGGATCCATATTTGTTCACTTGACAGCTTATGAGCAAAACAGTAACTATTGGTTTAAAGAAAGTGCTTTTCTTTGAACTTTATGGAAAAGTTAGTTTTGTGTTGCAGGTCAGAGTAGTACTAAATGCTGAATTCATTACCTTTTCTTATAATCTCTGTTTTTCTTAAGCAGGCTATTATGTTGGACAATGCTTCCACACTGCTCTTTGATTTGAAAGATCAAAGCTGTTCTCTGAAGAGTTTTGATTAACTGTGAAGACTAGCTATGTTCAACACTAATAGGTATACTAAAGTGCTGCCAAGATTAATGTGGAGATGACCCTCTGCCTATTTTCAGAGTCGCAGGGGGGCAAATTCTGTCAACAGTGAAGATGCATTTGATGAAAGGCCGAAGCAATGGGGATCCTTTCTATCAGGCAGTAGAGGAAGTTGTACAAGATTTGGATTTGAGGATTAAAAATATTATCGATTCACAACATGAAGTCTTGACTGCTAGCACCACTGGAGTCAGTCCAACACGGGTAATGGGACTTCTTTTGTTCTTTTTACTATTTAGCTTTACAAGAAAGCAAATGTCCTCCTGGTTTTGTTGTTCTGTGGTTTTGGTTTTTTTAAAGACTTTTATATAGAGTATTATCATTTCCTACTAATAGAGCAGTGTCATTTCCTCTACACTGTGGTTTTAAACTTGCTGAAAGACTTATACGTTAGGATTACAGTGTGGATTTCAAAAAGATGTTTTATTTAAACTTCTTACATTGAAAAAGTAAATTAAATGCTCTTCAAAATTTATTTTGTTCTTGCAGCAGTTCTAAATGTAAATACTTGTAACTGTTAGATTTGCCAGTAATTTCAAAGCAGTAGACCTATAACATTTCCAAGCAGAAAAAAGTCTTCTTGGAAGTGCAGTTAAGATTTGAGAACATGTATCTGCATTTGGATTAAAGAACACAAATTTTAATTAGCTCTGAATCAAGCATTATTAAGGGTAAGAAGCTCAAAATATGGTTGAATAGGAAAGAAATCCAGAATATGGTGAAACCTTGGCAGGGATGACGAATGAAAAAACCCAAATACTCTGTGTATGTTTTTCTCTTTCAGTATTTCAAGACACTAACACAGTTACTAATGGGTTTTTTTTTCTGGTTTTTTTGTGTGTGTGTGTGTGTGTGTGTGTGTGTGTGTGTGTGTGTGTGTGTTTGTGTGTTTTTTTTCTTGGAGGGAATCAAAACATTTAACATTTTAAAAGATAGGTGTGGAGAGTACACCCGAATACATGTTTTTATTTGTGATTTCTTTGAATATACTATAGATACTTTGAATCTACACAGTTTTCTATTATGATGTTTTTCTAATGAAAACATCAACAAACTTTATTTTACATTGTTAATATATATAATACAATGTCTCATATCGTGTGTTTTTGTTTAGGAAACTTTTAAAAACTGCTGAACACTTTTTGTGTCTATTCTTAGAGTGCTTAGTATTGCCAAATCACTGGAATTACCCCATAGTAACAAGACTTCTATCAGATTTTTATAAAACTGCCAATATCCTTTCGCTTTTCAATAAGAAGTAGGAGCCTCTAGATCTTAGTGGTCAGTTAAACTGATCTAAATATGTGTTTTCATGGATTAGCATCCTCATTTTACTTCATCACCTGAAGCTTCCATTACTTTGTATTTCCGTTTCCCTTTCTTGTCTTTGTCTTTTTCTTTCTCTGCTCCATCTGAAAAGTTAGCAGCCCTATTATTTCTGTCTTTCTCTTTATCTGGCTTCCTGGATTCCTAAAAAAAAAAAATTTAAAGCCTTAGATTTTTTATCAGCTAGGTAAGATTCAATGCTTTTCCAACATAGCTTATGTTTCTTATTGTTTTCTATAGGTTGAGACTGTAGTCTAACAGTCTGTAGAAATGTTTCCTAGTTTCCTTGTTGAGGCAGAAGATAGTGGGATGGTTGTCAAGAAACATGGAAGTACTTAATTCTGTTAAGAACAGCATGAAGTTTTGTTAAAATGGGCATCTGTGGGCAGCTTATCTACTTAACTATATTACTATGAGTCAGTGGTCCTATGTTGAAGGTTTTCCCAATTACGTTTTTGAATTTAATCTCTCTGTTGGAAGTACCAATCTGCTTTTGAGTGGGAAGATTCTATTATAGTTCTTTGTGAGAAAACTTGAGTACATATCCAGAGAATGATGGGCTTTAAGCTAATCCTTTTCACCATATGCACCACAGTACATCCATATGCATAGTATGTACGTACAGATATAGCTAACAATATAGCTAACAGCTATAGGGATGACTGTGAGGGATGACTGTGGTCTGAATGTGGCTGATATGCTGGTTGGCTTGAGAAATTTAGTGCTCACTAAGAAAGCATGGGCAAATGTTAAGCAGTGATATCAAACTGCAGGTTTCGGTGGAGCTTTCAGTAGAAAGACATTATACTAAACACGCATAGACAGGCAGGTTTTGATTATGGATTTTGATAATAAAAGATTTCCATGCATTTTCCAAATGAATTTGAACCGTGAAGAAAAATTGGAGTGTCTGTATTGCTCCATTAAGATTTTAGGACAGCAAAGGTTAAATCTCTGCTGAGTGTCATATATATCTCATTTTGTTTTGTTTTCTTTAAAAAGAATGTTGTATTTTTTTTTTTAATAATGCTGTAATTTTTCAGAAAAAAAAATATCTGTATTCAGAGTAAGTTCTGCCTTTGATGGGATGGTATGGTTTTTCATATGGAAGTAATTGACTTGTTACTTTAAGTACAGAAATTGTACTTGTAAATCTGAACTTAACTGTAGATCTGAAAAGGATGCCTCCAGCAGCTCTTAGAAAGACTGGCACTACATAAAATATACTTTGGTTTCTCTTCAGGTCGTATAAAATATACCTGAAAAGAGACATTTTGTTGAAAAAATATTTGCTTTTTCTCCTATTAGTTTTCTTACTTTGTTGCTCAGTTTTTCTGTAAATATCTGTTTTATTAAAGGCTAAAGCTGTATAAAAAAATCAGTATTTTGTGCAGAAGGAAGCATTACTTTTCACTGAAGACTTCATGAGTGACTAATAGCAATTGTGATTAATTTCTTCCTTAGAAATTTACTGCTGTAAATTGAATACAGTTGGCATTTCTGGAACTGGCTCGAATAGTCTGGAGTAGTTAATGGTTACTTCCCTTGAAAGATTAATAAATAGTTTACTTGAAAAAATATTTAGAGTCATTATCTTAATAATGAACAAGATTTTTGTGGCAGGGATTTTTATCTTGCCTGAAGTTCCTATTGTTTTTTGGACAATAGTATTTAGTACACCAAGCTACTGTTGTAGCAGTACGTGAGATTTCTGAAGGTCATCTTTTGGCAGTTAGGAAGTTATGCTATATTCTACACATTATTATTATTACATTTTCTTTGTATATAATCAGTCAAGCTGTTGTCAAACTCGTACTTTTTTCATTAAGATAAATTTAACGTGACCCACATGGCGTTTTATAAAATTCCATGATGTGGATGATGTGGTGATGTAATGACTGAAGAGGTCCAGAATAAATTTTGAGGAAATTAGATGTTACTGAAATAGACCAATTTTGTAAAATCAAGTATAACGACCATTTCTGTAATTGCTATTTCTAGCTATTGATTATAATTTATAGTAACTGACTGACGTGTTGCTAAAGCTTCTTGAAAGCTACATACAGTAATTGATATAATCAAATAGGGAGAGAAATAGAATTTTTGATCTTTTCAAGGCTGTGTTGAAAGCAGTTAACTGATTAAAGAAATGCAGTTTGTTGCCTGTCCTGTTCTAAACAAAGTTAGGCTACTGTATGTTTCTCTGAATTGGTAAATAAGAAAGACTGTGGTTTTTAAACCTTAATACTGTGTATTTAGCACTACATTTGTTTAGAAAACCCCTAGAACTTTACAGAGAAATGTTATAAACTTGCAACTCTAGCAATCCTATGAAATTCTGCATCTGCTGGCTATAGCATTGAACTCTTCCAGATGTGAATTGTTATTTTCTTTAAGTACTTTTTAATTCTTGTGGAAAACTGAGGAATTTATCGTGTTACAAACAAGAGGGGATTGTACTTCTTGCCATATCTTGGTGGAAAAATCACTCTTAACAAGATGCTTTTGCAGATTCGGTTACAGGAGTTGGACTTCATTAGAATGTTTGTGTGGCACTCAAGCTGGTTGTAAGGAAATAATATGTTAGTTTCAGCAGCATGGTTTCATCACAGATTTGAATATTTGTTTGATTTGCTTTTCAGTGTATGCCTCTAGTTGGCAATGATCTAAATTCTACTCATTCCTTGGGATGAAAAAGAATCTTCCATGTAGTCATGTTATTTGATAGATTCTTACTGGGAAAGGGGAGGAGAGGGTTCTTGCATCCTCTGCTGTTATTAGTTGCCTTTGGAATTGAGCTACTGATTTCACTTTTTGACCTTTCCTGAAGTATGTTCTCTTTAATTTTATTTACTTTCAGCCAAAATTGCATTCCATAAACCATGGCACTGCATACTGTGGTAGAGACACCATAAAAGTCTTACTAGTTCTTCTTGATGAAGAAGCAGTCAGCACTCCTACCCAGAACAAAGCGGAATTATTATATGATGATGTAAACTTAATTATGTTTGGAAGCACCTCTATTTTGACACTCTTCAGGTGAGTACTAGAAAACTTTTTGTTCGTTTATAAAGATTTTTACTAACTGATTTAAAGCACTGATATTTCGTACACTAAATTTGCAGCCTGTTGGGAGCATAGATGTAAAAGGAAAGCATTCTTAGGACAGCGTCAAGATCTCAAAAGTATTCTACCTCCTCATCTTCATTTACTGTTATTTTCAACATGCTTTTGGAAGGCAGATTTTCTGGGCTAGTATGTTTCTGGGCTGCACGAGACCTGTGAATGGAGTATTCTTTGCAACTAGTCTTCCAAATACTCATCTATATTTTTAGTTCAGATAACGCGTGTTCAGTAGCTGACTGTATTTATATTCAGATTGAAAATTCTTCCTTCATCTAACTTTAGTACAAGATATTTTGGGATGACAATCTGTTTTCTTCCTACATAGTAATTATTTGGTAGAGACTTTTCTAAATGGTTAAATAGATTTTCATATTGTGATACACCAATCAGTATTATACAAAGGATGTTGAAACAAATTCATGTGCATGAATATTTATTGGTAGTGTAGTTCATGGCATACATTGACTGATGGTCAAATTGAGAGAAAGAAGGAGAGGAAAGGAAATAGAAAAATTTCTCAGTGATCAGCTGGGAAGTAAAGCAGCCTGGGTTTCCAGACAAGCATTGTCTGCGGTACAGCAGTCAGTTCCACAATAATATTACCCATGATAACTATACTGTTTTCATAAGGACCTGCTAAAACCCACTGCTAATTATCCCTGCTTTTTTATGCCAATACAGGTGATTTCAACATCTGTTCATTAAGGCCTGGACTGCATGGCTAGTTGTTTCTTAAGGTTTTTGCATGCCCATTTTTGGGTTCCCAAATACAAAAGGAGAACTACAATGAAAGACTGTGAAAAGTGGGTAATTAGAGATGTTTCTTATGCTGGTGGCAGTTGCTTTACGTGAGAACCCACCAGTACAACACTGTCAGAGTGTGTCAGTGCAAGATTAACAGAATAGGAAAAGAACAAGATAAAAATATAGGCAAAAGGATGCAGGGATGTGAGTAGAAATCTCAGTTCCAGATATGTGTTCCATAGCAATACAGGAGACAAAGGCATCTATAATACCGTGAAGCTGTTGGTTACTGATTTTATTTATTGATTTTTAATGTAAGAACTTTGTCACCTTCTTTGAGTCCTAAACTGAAAGACAGAGGATCCTAAATTAAGGAGAATTTGGTGGTTCTTCCAGATTTATAGTTCAACCTCTTTTATGAAATCAACCAAACTATCACATTCCAATAAAGTTCAGAAAAAAAATATTTTTCCATTATTTTTGATTCAGGAAAATTAATACATGTTGCTTTTAAAATTGTTTTGTTAAATTAATAAACCTCAGTCACGATGTGTTTTATCAAAATGAATAGGAACATCAAAGCTCAACTGAAGTTTTCTGAATTAAACATTGCTGTTATTCACAGCTAGAAATTTGCTTTTTTAAGCAACTCTTTAAAATGGAATAAAAACCTCTTATTTCTGAATAAGAGTGTCCACCGAGTAAAGATGCAAAGCATTCATTGACTTGAAATCTTCTCCTTGTAGGTGCAAGGAGGTGCTGCTATGTAGAAATGTATATGGTAATCTACACACAATTCTTGTTTTCTTTAATATTTTCTGTTGATGCTCTTGTTTTAGATTTTATTTTTCATTATATCAAATTTTAAATGCTATTTGTTTACATAACATCTAAGTAGAAATTGTGGAAGCACACAAAATATTGAATTAATATTAAATCGTTGTTTCAGGAGTACAAAACTTTGCAAAGCCTAAGAAGAAATACGTGAACTTACAAACAGCACCTGTTCTCAATTTTTATTTAAATCTTTGTGTTCCACCTTTCTGTAACAGTTTATACTGTAATCCTCCAATTGCTCTGCAAATGCTAAACATTTTAATATCACCTAGGATAGTAACTAAGGTATCTGTATTTCATCAACATATAGGCACCTACACTACAACCCTTTTTTGTTAATACTTCTCAAACATTTGATCAACAGTGTCTACAGTCTTTTGCTGGTCCATATAGTTTAAAGTAAGTCTGAAATAATTTACAGGATAAATGGCAGTAGGTTTGACAGTAAACTTCACTGTAGCGAAAATTATTTTTGCTAATCTGATTCTATGTAACAGGTTGTCACCTCATATGGTAGCTTTATGGTTTTAGATCAAAAGCTAGTTTTTATTTTGAGGATTTTCACAATATTTTTTGTTATCTCTAGTGATTTTACTACTGAAGAATCCCAAAATATTTTTAAAGTTTTTGGGTGTATTTGTCTACAAAAGTTGAAAGAGCACTGTTACTGTTCAGTTGAATGCTGAAGATAAATGAAAGCATCCCCTTTCCATAATTTCAGCATTCTTGGAATTTTACTTTCTTTGATTTACTCGTGTTTTAATAAACTTTGAGATAAAATTAATTGGATATATTTATCTGTCACCTTTGAAATCCTGTAAGAAAGCTGCTGCTGAAAAGCAGTTATTGTGTGTTGTTCAAATTTTCATCAGTTTTCTTTAATTTAAAATTATATTTCTGTAATTTGTAAAATGCCTACATATTTTCAAATGGAGAATGTAAACAGTGATGATATAGCCTCATTATTTTTGAACATCCAAAACAAGCTGAATTTTTTTGCAGTTTAATGGAACCTTCAGTATACACCTCAAATATTTTCCATCCGTAAGAACCTCATCTTAGTTTTCTTTTGAATATGCATTATAGAAACGTGAATAAAGTTCCCGTACTTCTTTTTAATTTTCTTCAATTTTAAATTTTATTTTGAACCTTTATACAATGCAAGCGTGCTGATTTCCTCTCATTATTACTAAAATTTGTAATTAAACAAGTATGTAGTGATCATATTGAAATCGAAATGAGGTGATTCTGATGCAATTTAATATATTGTTTACATTTAAAATTGAATTTTGCGTAAATATGAATTTAGTATTTTCATAACTCTTCACAATAAAGGTTTGTAGGTTTTTTTGTTTGTTTGTTTTTTTCTGGTTCTGCTGGTTCACCAAGTCTGTAGTGTTAAAGGCAATTTTATATTTGCTGTTGTTTTTCATATAATGCCTGTCATCTTCCTATCACATTACTGCTAACACAAGTCTTTCTTTAAAGTATGTGTGACAGAGCACTGGTTGCCCAAAGGGGTTGAGGAGTCTCCTTCTACAGAGATATTCAAGACGTGTTAGGATGCCTACCTATTCATCCTATTATAGGGTAAAATAGGGCAAAAATACCTCTCTTTGATACAGAGAATTTGTTTATTTATTTATTTATGCATTTTAAAGATCTAAATTTGTCATTCATTTATGTAACTATTCATATAGTGGAAGCATTTGTCTGAGTTCTTCTAATGAAAAGTATATAAGGAGGAGAAAAATTTTTCTGGATGTCAATCACATATTCAAAGAGGTAGAAATACAGAACTACAATACTGTAAATACACTGCAAAAGAAGAGTAGAAATTGAAACTTAAAATCTGATTTCATTATGGCACCTTCAGTAGTCACAGTAGATACATAAGATATACATATCAGTAGATATGTAGATACTTAAGAAGGGAAGAAACAAAGTAAGATTTGGAAAGAGAAAATGTTTGGTTTCCTGTTTCGAGGTATATGATAATTATTTTTCTTAACTGATTGAAGTTATTTGTTCACATCTCTTTTGAACATAGATCTCCAGCACAGTCCAAAGAATCTTCTCCAAAACCTCTTAGACAGCGTATTCAGAAATCTGTGGATGCAAAAATAAGTAAGGTACTGTACAGGATGTTCTATACACATATGGATGCATTGAAATAGTAATGCTAATATGAAAATAATAGTGATAAAATTTTCAAATATTTGTCTGAAAGGTATTGGATAGTTAAATAATCAGTTACCTTGTGTTTAATGGCCTAACTCAAACCGTGTTGAATGAGAACATGCAACACTCCAGAAAAGTCTTGAAGCTTACTAAAAGTACATTTGAATACTAGTGAAGATCTCATAATGACAATGTATTGCATAAATCTGTGTCTCCTAATTTAGCTCTCTGTGCATTTCAGGTCTATAGGATTAAATTTGAAGTTGTGTGAAAGCAAAAATAACATTGAAGAGAAGGACCAGATTTCATTTCTAAAATAATAATGATTAGTTGTTGTTTTTTTTTTCAGAGTGCTTTTTATTTGTAACATTTCATTGACATTTCCCTTATTGTGTACACTAAAATGTATACAATAAAGTGCAGTAATACTTGCTATTTTGTAGAGGAAATCAAACATTACGATATACTGGTATTGTAAGCAGCTCTATTTAATAGAACAACTTCAGTGTTTCTGAAAATTACAGCCTTTGTAAAATTGTATTTTACATAATCTCTTTTTCTCAAAATTATCAAATTTTAATGGTGGGACTATGGACAGACACAGACTATGTATACTCCATGGCATTTCAACAGAGAATTAAATGAAAGTACTGACTATTTTTTACAAACTTAGTTATGACAACAGATGAAAACATAAATATAATTAGTATGTAAAAAAGGAAACAGAAGTTCTATAGGCCATCAGAATTAGTTTTAGTAGACCACAATGGAAAATATATCTCTGCCAGTGAAGATGAAGGGAATTTTCACATATTACATGTATGAGAAATAGAAAGTGATTGAAAGGAATTAGAATGAAAATTACTGTCAGTATTTCCAACAAGTGTTTTAAATATACTTTGATTCCACACAGAGTATGCTCTTTAGAGAACTAGAGGAGTGAGGGTGTTGTTTTAGATGCATGCACTAATTAAGGTGAAATCTACCTTGAAACTTATGGGAAAACATTTGAAAAGATTGGAGCTGATAAATTGTCTTCATGATAATTTTACTATAAATAATGTATTTAAATTGCAGCTTTATTAATCAAATAGCAAAAATGTAATATACAGTTTATCTAATACATTGAAATAGACAGTTTTTTCTGTCTAAACCGATGTTTTGTAATTGGGTTCATGAAATTATGTTCAGTGTTAAAGTACAAAAGAAATTCTAAAATTAATTGCCTGTCAAATTTTGGATCTTTACCAGGAACATGCAAAGTTCCTCACAGAAACTATCAAAAATATGAAACCTGAGATTGATTCCTGTTATGAAATCATTCTTTTTTTTTTTTTTTTTAAATAGTTTTTTTGCTAATCACAAACATGAGATTAGCTACTATAGAGAATTTTTATGTCAATTGTAGTTATCACCAAAGATATCTGATCATGACAGCCTCCTGAGTTGATTCTTTATTGCCTAAGAAGGATATTGTGATTCCTATATCCCTTGTTAATGCAGTACAAGGAGTGACTTTTTCTCCGTGACTTTTGTCTCAGCCTTGTTTTCACTGTGATTGATAACACAAAATGTGTCTGTAGCAAAGTAGAATGAAATATCTATTATTTTTAGCCAGTCTTTGTTGATGTCTTTCAGTCTACTTCTAAAAGTGGTATTGACACTCACAGTGTGCCCTCATTATAAATGAGGACGACTATGTTGAAATGTAAATTACCTTTTATCTTAAGAAAATCAAAATACAAGGGGAACAAGCAACAGGTATAAAGTCTGTGCTTTATCCCTAGAACAATCATAGAACAATCACAGAATCACCAAGGTTAGAAAAGATCTCCGAGATCATCAGGTCCAACCATCCATCAGCCATCAATAGTTACCCACCATGTTCCTTAGTACAACATTCAATTGTAAAGATTACTTATAGTGTTTTGTAGATTAAACCTGTAAAATTTGACTCACTTCTACTTCAGCAGAATGGATGCTAAGGTGAATGTGATTAATTTTTAACTAAAAGGCCACTTGGAACTATGCAACTCATGTCTTAAAGGAACACTGGGGCTGCTAAACTGTCTTTTGTAATCATAAACAGTCTTCTTCATGGTTTTCTTCCAGTGTATCCTATCATATCAGCAATAAAAAAGCACTGCATGGAACTGAGGCCAACTATCTCAAGATGTTTTTCCATACTGACAAAGCATAAACAAAAAATAATAGTGTTCAAAATGTAAATGAGCTGCAAATATGTATCAGAATCTTCTTACTCAGATTATTTTACATTGCCTGAATGTTTCACATTGCTTGCAATTCTGTTTTCTGTGTATTAGCCAAACATTTAAACATTTACCATCCGAACTATATTATATACTTGTAAAGTCTGAGATTGTTCTTTTGATATTCCTATGCTCACTTTAGTCTTGCTTTTCCTTCAGTTAACCGAAATTGCTGTTACCAAAACAGCTAATGACTTTTCCAGCTGAAACTCAGAGATAATTCTCCAACTTTCATCTTTGATCTCCATTCTCTTACAGAAGATCTAGATTTTTATTCTTCTTTTGTCTATTCCTGGTAGCCGTTCTCACAGTTTCTGCAGGGTTTCTTTTGCATATTTTTCCCCCTTTCTTTTCTTACTTAGAAGACATTGTGATTATATCTTTCCTTCTTTTTCTGTACCTTCTTTGTGGAGAAATACATCTACAAACAAGTTCAGCTATCAGCCATGTATGAATAATTCATAAATCTATATGTAACCTAGGTATCTCTTTTGTCAAAACTAGCAATTTTTGTAACTTCTTCTATAAGAAACTTCTTTCAAATATATGCCTGTCTGTCTTAATACATTTAACTTTGAGGATAGTACCCTATCTGCTACTTTTTTTGCATCATAGCAACTGTAGAATATATTCTCCTTTACCCATATGTCAACTTGACTATAAATCATTAAAGATTCAGCTTGCTTTTTGATCACAGCGGTATATTTTTCTTGGACTTGGTAGATGATATATGCAGATTTAGCCTATCTTCACCGAGACTGACAGCTATTGAACAGCAAAGCATTTAGAAGGTAAATACATTCTTCTGTTTGCATATCAATCTACTCCTCTAAGTTGTAGTAGATACAAACTACTTGTTTTAACCTATCTTTAGCCACATTGATTATTTCTAATTTGCTGCTCTGAGATACATGTTCTTACTTACATTCAGCCTACAACACGAGTTTTCATTGTTGTTTTGTTAATTTTCAGTCTGGTTCTTTCAATTTTTTTGCTTTATACTATTTCTTATAGCTGAAGAGATTTCCTATGGGTATCTGCAGAACTCATTATCCTCTTTTAAAAGCTTTTTCAGTACCTTTAAATCAACCTCTCCTCAAAATTTAGCAGTTTTATGTATTGAAGTGGATGCCCATTACAATGACTAATTTTGGTTCCTTTCCCTATGAATCCATATATTTCTTGTCTTAGATTGTAATGTCCCTTGATAGAAATATTTTTTGTTCTGTCTTGACTGTGCAGCACATAGTACAATGAATTCCTTGTCCCTGACCATAGATCTCAAGAACTGTATTAGTGTTTATCACCTTATGCTGAGTATCAGTTTTCAAATTCCAAAATTGTTGTACAAAATAATAATTTACAGGTTGCCTCTAAAATTTGCACTTGTAAATTTTACTGTGCTTAATGCACAGATTTCAAAATTGACTCACAAGAGATAATATAAATGTATTCTGAATTATACAGTAGAAATATGATGTTCCTTTTCAATGTCACTGATTCTTCTGAGAAATTTCTTATGTGATGATAGCATTAGTTCCATAAAATTGTCATGAGGGCTCTTCTTCACGCTGCCTCTTTTGACATGGTTAGATTGTTAACCTGCAGTGCTAACTCACCATCAGCCATTTGGATTTGTAATAATTTGCAAGAAAAGTTTTCTTTAATGTAATATTTGAGAGGGAAAGTGACAATTAGCTTAGTTATATGCTGAGCCACATCATGAATTGTATGTTGAATAAGGGAAAATGGGAAAATCCAGTAAGCGATGGGAAAAAGGGACACTTCACTAAATTAAATGTAGCAATAATAAAAATAAAAATGATATCCCCTCCTTCCATAATAGGAACTGACTTTTCACATCTGCAGAATTGCAAAGAACGACAGATCAGTATTTAAACCTGGAGCACAACGTAGTGCACACGTGTTTTGTATCTAAGAATATAGAAAGTGGGAAAAGTAAGCTGGTAGCTATGAATTGCAATACGTTTAAAAATAAGGTAACTCTATGAATATTTCCATTTTCCCAAAACCAGTTCCTGGCAACAGTGAAGAAGAAATATTTCCTCTTGCAATCCTCATTAGATACTGGAATAGATGCAAAAATATTCCCTAACTATAAAGGCATTTGTTAGAAGGCAATGCTAGTGCTCAGTTCCTTGAAGAGAAAGAAGTTTGGAGAACTAGTATGTTGCACCTTTTCATTCCCTCCAGCAGAAACAAGTCAGAATAATAATGAGAAATTCAATTTCATCTTCCAGTGAGAGGTGATTAAGAAATGAGTTGTGTTTCAAATTTTCTATCCACTGTTAAATGGAAGTGTCTTAATGGCGAGTGGTATTTTATGGAAAAAATTTTTAATTCAGAAAGGCTCACAGAATGTATTCACTTACGTCTCTTGCAGCTAGTTTTTCTTGCATTCAGTTTCTGCTTCATAAAAGAAAACAGACCATTTAACTAGACAAGAGAGAGCTACTTTATCTAAAATTAGTTATTCCAACGTTATGATTGGTCTGGTACTTTGAATTATACTTATATTAATTTTAAACCCCACTATTTAACAATTTATTTTGTTGAATGCAATAGGATTATTTAAGTAGTAATTACTTGTGTGTGAGAGGAATGGAATGATTGTAATAATCACCTCCTTTGGTTAGGTTAAAGATCAACTTAGGGCAAAAAAACTGATTGAAAAATGAAGATTTAATCTTTCCTATGCACGTCAAAAGATAAACTGATGTTTCCAGTTGTAGGTAAAACATTGTGCTGGATGGAACTAATGACTTTGGGTGTGAACATTAGCAACTACAAAGGAAGAAACAAAAGCTATTAGGCCATAAGCATGCAACATGTGAAAGAATAGCATATTTTTGTATGATTTTGGAAGGTAAAGATTATTTCAGCCTTTAATGCATTTTGTTAAAAATCCTGCTACATTGTTAATACATTAACTGCATGACAGCTGCAAGAACTTTCAGTAGTTTGGCATGTTAATTTTTTTTCTTAATGCAGCAGGAGACAACCTTTCCTATCTGAAACACTGTTTTCCTCCAATTGGGAACGGAACTGTAGTTGAGTTTTAAAGCAATCTGTGGCTGAAGAAAAGTCTAACAAATGTTGGCATGTTTGATATTCATTGTAATTTTACTGTGTATAGAAATCCTCCCAAGGAAAAAAAACTCCACAAAGCAAACAATTCCAGTCTGCCTTTCTCATGTGACTTGTTCATGCCTATGCAAAGTGATTTAATTTCTAGATTCAAGCACTGATGTTATTTTTCATTGCTTAATTCCCTAAATGCTGTTACTTGAGAAAATTGTTTTGCCTGTTTGTGATTCGAGTACTTATAAATTGTAACTTGGAAAACTGTCAACAGGAAGTTATCAAGAGTTTTCTGCATGCCCATTGTAACTATGGGTAGAAAAGGCATAGCAATAAAGAAAATAATCCACCTGAGGCAGATATATTGTCTATTGTAAAGATACAATTTCTGACTGGAATGTAATTATGGAATGTAAATTGATTAGGAGTTTTCATGGTTATGAAATGTGCTAAAAAATGAATATCTGAAGGAGAAAGAGGAAGGGGAGGTATAGGTTAGGTTCAATAAAGGATTTAAAGACAGGTTATTTTTCTTAATCAGGTACTTGATAAACTATACTTCTGGGGGAAATACCATTATTATTACTACAAGACCCCTGAAAAACTTTCTAAGGATCCCTAGCTGTGAATTATGGGCACTCTTGAAATTGTTATGTGACAATTTGTGGCTGAATACTTTCAAAATAGTAGTAAGTTAATTTAGGATAGCAAAGATTGGTACAATGTCATGCTAAAAAAAAATGGTCAGATTTGGTAAAATAAAAGCTTGCTATTACCTGAGCTATTAGTGAAGATGATTTTTTTTGTGGTTGAATAACATGATGCCTTATTTTGATGATGGTGTTTACTGTTGTATTATTTTTTTTTCTCTTTCCCTAGCACTTCCTTTCCTTCTTCCAACTTACCTTTACTATATTTTCTGAAAGAAAACAAGTAAAGATGAGAGAATACATTTTTCTCTACTTTTTATCTCTCTCTTTCTCTTCCAAATAGTATTCTAATTGTTTGGCTGGAAAATAAAAACATGTGTTTGTTGTTACTGATGTAGGTTTTCAAATTCTATTATGCTATTCCAGCATATAAAACCCAAATCTCAACATTCTTACTGACTAAGTATTGGCAGTTCTGACTGTATGCAGATGGTGGAAGGAGGTCTGGAATAGATTATCAACTAACTTTTAGAAATAAATAGACCATGCACCATTAATTTTTTTGCATAACTGTGAATGTTTTCTATTGGCATCTCAATGAACTGAAAATCTTTAGGTACAGAAGTTAAGGTGGGAGAATATTCTATATATTCTGTTTGTTGGGACTACTATCTGACCTACATGTGCTAAACATAGGATGTTTTATATTCTGTTGTAGTTTCTTCCAGCTAAACAATAGTAACAGTAAACCCTATATCTGGAATTCAGCAGAATTTCTTCCTATGTATAGGTGTAATATCCCTCTTGTTTGTGAAGAGGAACAGAGACAACAAGCCTCAGTTCATTTCACACTACTTACATGCAGCTACTTGCTTAGGAAGTTGAATTCCCAACATCTTTTCATTTTCACAGAGCGGTTGGTTATTGGATTGGTGATGTGGATTCCCTTGAAGCAGTGGAGTTTGGGGAATTTAATGTACAAAACCACTCATTTCTAAGAGTATTCCAAGTTGTTGAAAGCCTTGATTATGTGTTACTGAATCAAATTTGAAGTTAGTCTTTTTTTTTTTTTTTTTTTTTTTTAAGGAACATTCCGGAAGACCTTTTCTTTTTGATTTAGCTGTAGACTCACACTGTTTTGTTCTGCCTTCGGGCTATTAAAACTTCCTTCTTGCTAACTCAATGTAATACAGTTGTTGTACTAGCAAGTTTATATTCCTACACCAGCTGGGAAGTTTGCTTCAAGAAGTCTAGTTTTGCAATCTTGATTCATATATACCTTCTAGCTTAGTACTAGGATCAACTGAAACAGTTCTATTTGGTAGAGTTTTATGTACTGCTTTTAAATGGCTAAGTAGCATGCCATGTGGCACAAAATTTTGAGGCATATTTTAGGCTTCAGTGCAGTTGAAATACAGACAGATGAGTTTGTGAACTTTTTTCAGTATTTGGTCCTTTGATTTCACATATTCTGTTCCCTGAAAATTAGTTTGTTAAATGTGGGTGTGGTAAAAAAACAAACAAACTCTAATGTCCAAAAAATAATTCATTGTTTACAGAATGTTAACTATCAAGCTTTCTTGACTGCTTGATGGGCTTTTTTGGTGCTGTGTTTATTATATCTTCATTAGCTCAGTACAAAATGCATCTTATACGCCTCTTGCAATATGAATGTGATAGTATTTTGTGTGCAGATTATTGTTGCATAATGTGCATCATTTAATAAAAAGTTGAGGATCGAGTGAATTTTAAATGATTATGATGAAGCATTGGAGAAACAGCAAAACCAGGAAGCATAATAATACAGTGATACTAAACTAAAAAAAAATAAGCCATGTATGTTCTGAACATTATAAAAAATAGGATGTTACATTTAGTTAAACAAGATTAGTCATGCATTTTGTGCAGTTTCAAATACTTATTCTGAGTCTTTGGGTATAGTTTCATCCTTCTCTACTGGGTTTGTATGGCAAGTTTTGTGTAGTAGCTGGGCTACAGGTAACCTCTATGAGAAGAGATCAGGAGCTGCCCGTGTGCTGGGCAGAGTCAGTTCTAAAAGAGACCCACCACTGGCCAATGCTGACCTCATCAGTGATGCTGGTGATAGTTCTGTGGTAACATATTTAAGAAAGGGTAAGCATGCTAGCTGTAAGAAGTGAATGAGAAAAATGAGAGAAACATCTCTGCAAACACCAAAGTCAGTGAAGAGGGGTATGAGGTGCTCTGGATGCAGGAGCAGAAATTCCCCTGTAGCACATGGAGAAGACTATAATGAATCTCTAAGTGAGACTATATGGATATGGGCACATTAAGTAAGAATTATCCATGTTTATGTAAGTAAAAGATAGCAAATATATTCACCTGATTAACTGCAATATCATGCAGATACTTAGGCTACGTCTAAAAGCTAGAGTATATTAGTTTATGTGGATAAAAGCAGTGTGTGATGAAAGTGGCATAAGCTGTGACTGAATTTTGCAACACCTGTGAGATGAGGTTTCCAGCCATGTATTCTTTTTTGTTATTCTGTTTGAATTTGAAAGTTTGAATTGGAACAAAGTAATCTATAGAAGTGAAACCCTGGAAATAGAGTATTTAAACATGCTTGTGCATAGAAGGAAAGTATAATGCAAACTTTTCAATCCTAAAAGTGTTTGCAAACCTCCTACTCAACAAAACCAACTGAAAAAAAAAACCAAAACAGTATTTATTTTGTGACAATGCTTATTGTATTTTCTTTTTGCTGATGTTTGAGCAGCATTTCTCATTCAGCTCATATTTATTAGAATTCACCTGTGACATTTTAACAGATTTATTAGCTAGAAATCCTAATCCTTGCTATATCTTTCAATGTATTTTAAATAATTTAATAGACTTTCAAAAGGAAGCGAGGGCACTGTTATTGTCTTGCAGACATTTCTGATGAATTGGCCAGCAAATATGAAGTTCAGCCCTGGAATTAGAATAAGAGATAGTAAAAGAAACTGTAATCTAAGTGTAAACTGAGGAATCTTGACCTGGAATCACCAACTCCAGTAAATATAATTATATTGACTATATTAAAATTTTCACATAATTTTTGTAGTTGAACTACATATTTTGATTTGCCTGTGCTGTAAGACTAGATTGTCTCCTTCCAAAACTAGGAGAGGGTGATGAACATAGAGAACCAGATACAGTAGTGTTCTTCACCACTGTAGCTTTTTTGCAATTGTAGGCTATGCATGTTTTGACAAATGTGGCATTTGACATCATTGTTCAGTATGCCTTTATTTTGAGATTAATTGCAAAATCTGAAGGTTAACATTGATCTGAAATAATATTTTATAAAGAAGTTTTAGACATAAATATGTTGAAGGCTAATTTATATTACTTTTTCAGTGTTTCGCCATTATTGCTGTAAGTATTCTTGAAAACTTGTATATTTTGTATACTTTTGTATATTTTGAATACTTCATATAATTAGTTTTTTTTTTTTTTAATGTGAATATTCTCATTTTTAGTAAAACTTTTGAGACGACAGAATGGAAACAGTATTTTACTAGTCTTGCAGGTGTTGTATTTTACTTCTGTAAGTAAAGTTAACACAAATTATTATTGGTAGATGGAGCAATCTTCAATCAAATCTCAGTTTGCATGTACATACAAAAATGAGCTGAGTAAAATAAGGGATCAGCACTTCCTCAGCAGTAGCAAAATGCCAGCCTGCATACATCCTGCACCAAAGCAATGTTTACAAGGTAAATATTTCACAGGTAAGCCATAATAGAACTGGATATGTGAATGTGATATCTAATATTTCAAGTGTTATCAAAGAAAGTTTCAGTAAAATTCATGTATAAATATGTTTTCAAGAAAAAAATAGATGTCTCATTACTTTATATATACTGTGACCAGTTATATGCCTTTGCATTGAAATTTTAATGCTAATATTTTAAAAATTCAAATTTGTTTGAAACACGTGTATTGATGCTATCTTAAGGTAAAAAAAAGTGATGTATTTTGTGTAATGTTACTTCTTATTTGAAATAAGCAAGCTAACTGAAATTTATATCTTTATTATTAAGAAAATAATCATTTCGGTTATTCCTTTATAAGCCATATCATATATATATATATATTCTAAATCCTTTATGCATATTTCCTAATATTTCAAAGCTTTAAATTCATTTTCCTAATTTAGTTTTCTTAGCTTATTTTTGAGCAATTTTGAAGCATCAGCGTACTTAACACGTAGCAAATGTAAGTGCTATGACCAGAATAGTTTTGTTCTGCTTTATAAAGCAATTGTTTTGATTAAAAATCACATGATAGTCCTGATAGAAAACAGATGAATAAACTCAGGTAACTTCTATTTCTTCACATATGTTTTTGATATTCTCACATGACAGAAGGTATGAATTCATGTCTTGACATACCAGTGCCTGGAACTATTTCTGAAAATGATCATCAGACTAGAAATTATAGAGAAATGGGGAAATTGAGTTGTCAGCCAAGAAACAAGAACTCCAAGAATGAACAGATGGATTTGAATAATGACAAAGTTATCTATGATGAGGAAAGTGAAACATCTTTGCCAAAAAATGCTAAGAAACGTAAGACTTCAAACAACCCTCAGAAGGAATTGGACAGCAAAATTGATGGAAAAAGAAAGAACAACAGAACTGCAAGCAAGAATAAATTGATTGTTGGGCAGGCAAAATTGACTCAATTTTTTAGACTGTAACTTTTTATTTTTACCTGCATTGTCTGTTGAGCACTTCAGATGTAAGATTTTGTGAGAAAAAGGTGAAATTCATGATTTGCTTTTCTTCATACTCAAATCAGTGAAAATAGCTTGTGTGTATAATTAGACAAATACTTACAAGTCTGATTATGCAGATATCTTTTATTTTTGATAAGAATACATCAGTATTTACAACTATGCTCTGTTTTGGTAATGAATTATGCTTCTCTCAACATTGCAATGTGAAAATAATGTTAGATGCATATGTATAGCAATACTAAGACATAAATATCTTCCAATCATGTTAAACTCATAATAAAATGTTTAATCTTTTTCAAAGAAGGTGCTTTGAGTCAGTAGTTTTCAGACTTGCCAACAAGGTCGATAGACTCTTCCCAGCATGCATCTGAGCACTACAGGAATATAAAGAAAAAGTTTAAAAAAAGCAAAGAACTAGAATTCTGTATGGCCTACAAATGCTTACATCCCCATCACCCAGACTATTTACAATAGAGGCAAGTTGGAAATGCAGGATTTAAATAGCACTAACAAATCCCAGATATTAAATGGAGTTTCTAACTGTGCTTTTAAGAAATGGTTTCAGAGACACTGAAATATACTGTACCATAATTAATCTGAAAAAAAGAAGAGAGAAAAAATAAAATGTACTTACTGTGAAAATCTCTCCTTCCTATGGGGAATTTGGCTGAATTTTCTTCTTCCGCTGTCTCTCTTTCCTGTAGTGATTCAATATTCTGAATTTCAGTGTCAGCTGGAAAAGCAATGGCTCCCTTCAGTGCAAGATAAGGTAGTTGCTTTCTGCCTGCACTGATTGGTACACCATGATTTAAGAAATCATGTCTGGAATCAGTGTCCTGTTTTAAGAAGAAAAACAGGACTATCAGTTTATTTAAAAAAAAACAAAAAAAAAAAACCAAAATGACATGCTGAAACATAGGCTCTTTCCCCCAAATTTTAGCTTCTATTTAAATTATTATTATTATTATTATTATTATTATTATTATTATTATTATTATTATTATTATTATTTAACTGCCCAGATTAAACATTTAAAAACTGAAAATTAGAAAATTCAAAGAGAGAATTACGGTAGAAAATTTCATTCAATCCTAAACTGATTTTTTTCCTGTACCCAACAAGTCACTACCTTAAATTACTTGTCTTCTAAAGGGCTATAAAAAAGAATTTCAATTTAACACTTAAGCGATTAAAAAAATGCAAAACTGAAAACTCACAAAAAACTTTAATTTTCTGTCATTGTCTTCATCCAAGAAGCTTTCCTCAATCTTATAACGTTTCAGCAAAGGCATTGCTCCTCTCTTTTCAGTTCTATCTCCATTTCGAAGGGTTTTTCCTAGATTGAATGCAGTTAGCAACATATCTTCATCTTCTGCTTTTTGCAGAGATTTTGAAACTGAGATTAGAAAACCTTGAGAAAAAAGAGAGAGTATTAACATATATGATGAAATACACATTCTTACTTACTTAACGCTTTCATATAAGGTAAGCAGTTTTCAAACTCTAAGCTTTTCAGGTGTAAATTAACATGTTCTCCATCTGTGCCCACTTTATATATTTTACAGACTGAATGGAAACTACTTCAGTGAGTGATGAGTTCAGTCTTTTAAATGAGTCACATTAAGGATAAAGCTTTGTATAAGCCTTCTAATCCCATCTATTGTTTAGAACTACTTAAACATTTCTTTAGCATGGATAATTTTTTTCTTTTGATCTTTTTAGAACAGCAAGATAGCTCCTTTGAAGCATCATTATAGCAAAGCTCAAATAAAACAGTGATGTCCATTTGTGATGTTTAATAAGCTTCACATTCATTTAAGGCAACTTAAGAAAAGGAACTAATTTACGTAAGTAAGTAGGGCTTTTGTAAAGGTGTGACTTATCATAATCTTTAATCAAGAGTGACTTACAAAAGAGTTGAAAAAACTTGGCATTTAACAATATCTTAGACTCCTACTGTGTTCAGGTTGAAGTAACTAATTTGTCCATTATCTTTAATCATTTAAAGAGCTCAGGTAAGAAATATTTTTTAATACTTAAGTGATTTTCTGCATTTTCTTTTTGAAAATGAACATTTCCCAAACAAATACAAAATAATCAGATACACTTGCTAGAAAAGTAGAAAGACAGTGAAATTTCATTTTTAAATTAAAATATATATATATTTGAGGTCTGTCTGCTATTCTGTGGAAAAAAAGGCAGGAATTTGTGTATAATATTTTTTACTTCATCTGGAAAGCAAATGTGGATCTTAATGTCAATGACAGTAAAGGTCTGTTCAATGACTGTGTGCCATCCCATAAATTCATGCTTATTTTAACCTTTAGGGTAGGGCATAGAACCGAATATCATCCTAAGTAAAGCAGACTAATAGGAAATTGATCAAGAAAATGAGAAGGTTAGGGTTAGGGGTGGTGCAAAGTCTCCCAGTAGGAGGCCAGTAGTGACTGGGGTACACCAAGGATCAATAGTGGTTTTTTTGATGGTAAGTATCCATATTTCTGATAGAAGTCCCTAGTGCACAAAGTTATTGCGGATGAGCCACAGTTAATCTCTCTGAAATCAACCAACAGAAGAAGCTTCCTTATAAGCATAATAAAAAGTCTAAAGAAGACTGGGGCCCCTTATGTTTACAGAGAGGTGAGATTCTGAACTACCTTTGAATACATGGTGTCTTGGAGATGCCATGAGGCTGGCAATCCTATTTAATTCTGCTAGAACTCCTGCAATTTCTACTCTTCGCCATTGATGGAATATTGACAGTGCTGAGATGAGTCATTTGTTTTGTATAACTATCGCTGAGGCAGGAGAATTTCTTTAGAAGTTTTTCCTCATGAAAATGCTGATCCACCATTAGTGGATCAGGTCCTATACAGGGTGGTGAGTACTATTGATATACAGTGATCCTAGGACTGACCATGGCTTGGATTTGAGAGCAGCAGCAGTTCCTCTATTTCCAAATTTGTATGAAAGCAATCCAGTTAAGGTAAAAGAATTTTATTACCTATATCTTCACAGGTCTTTTACTTATCCATAAATTTTACTAAAGGCGTATTTATGTTCCATGCATGTGAGTACAAATGCTTTCAGAGAGCTGAATCCTCTGAGTCTGTTTGCATGATGAGAGATGACATACTGCTCACGTGGGTGCTATAACATGTGTGAGACCAGTTCTGCCACAATCCCTTTTCACTGACCAGGCATATAGTAAATCAGCACTTTATTTAAAAAAAATAAATAAATCCAAACACTTGGCTGTTAGTTACCTGAAAATTTTAACAATTGTGATAATTATTGACAAAATATTTTTTTTTGTAAGTTTATTAATTTTATTCCCCTGTAAAAGAGAATTGCATTTTTGTCTGAATGTTTTTTCGAATAATACTTTTTTTTCTAACAGCAGAGGTTTTAAGAATCTTGGTGCTTGTGAAGCAATAACATTACAAGTCCACAAAGTATTTTTACAGTGCTTTGGATCCGAGGTACATTCTTGAGATGTGCTATTTTGTAAGTAATTCCTGACAAAGGTCAGAGGTGTTTACAAGAAGTTGTGATGCCTAAAAAGATCACGGAAATGAACTCAAAATTTTCATGTATTAGGCTGAGTCACATACTTAAGGCATGCTTTTGGGAGTCTCCTGATGGGTCCTGATATTAAGAGTCAGATATCTTTTCGTGTTGTTATTGTGAAGTGAAATTCAAAACCTGCAAAGGTCCCACTTGGTATTCTGTCTGCTGTTTTCCATTCCAGTCCTGTATACTAATGACTGAAATGTTTATTCCTTATCCATTCATGTGCTACTAGCTTTATTGTAACCAAAACCTTACAATACTTGTAATGTCCTCATTACTGCAGTAGTTATTATTCCATTGTTAATGACTACTATCCAAGATCTAAGATCCACATTATGATCTAGGAATTGCTCCAGACTGAATTAAATTGTGCCAGTTTCTGTTATCTCAATTACAGTCAGGCCCTTTTCATCCCAAACGTGAACATTGATTGAAACATGTCTCACAGTCTCTCAGTCACATAGTTTCTACATCTTATTACCTTTGTCTGCAGATGAGACTGTACTAAAACTGATGCTCAAAAGTAGAGCCCAATAAAAGTTTCCAGGAGTTACTGCACAGACTGCAGGCAGTCACACTGGAGATTCCAGTGGAATCAGTCCAGGAGAAATCACATAAGTTTCTGGACATATTAGATGCCTCCATGCCAGCATGCCTTGTAATTCCCATAAATGTGGGCCTTTTGTAGTCAGCCAAATTACTCTGGCAGATGTCTGCTTCCTTAATATTGACAATACAGGTGAGTGGATTGATGTTATCCAGTGCTATCAGCAAGCTATGGACAAGTCTATAAACACTAGTGCTGGATTGTTAAGTGCAGCATCATTCCATTAACGGGACAGGTTATCATCAAGGCCTGCAAAGATCCCTGCCACAAGATGAGAAATTGCACAAAACTTTAGTTAAACAAAAGTGAAACCAAACTACTTTTAAATTATATTCTTCTAGTTATGAACTACTGCTGTTTTAATCAAGGGTTATTTTCATGGAATTTAGAAAGGCTGTCATTGAAATATAAAAATACTGATAAAGAACTGTGGAAGATTTTTCCTCAGCTAGAGTTATATTTTATAAGACTTGGTTAATTTTCCTGTAAGAAATAAATGTGGTTATCTTCATACATCTCTGCTTTAAGTGTTTGTTTGAACTCTCAAGGTCATTTTGTCCAAAGGCAAGCAGCATCAGCTGTCTTAGGGAAATATACTGTTGCAATTACCTTTGCTAAACATTACCATTTCAACTGGATCCTGAATTTTGGATAAAAGTATGGTTTGCAGCTGAAACTACCCTGTTTCACTATTTTGGGAGATGCGGTCAGCCATTCGTACTTGAATCTGCATTGTTTCACATTCAAATAATTACTTGCTCGTGTTACATTTGATTCTCTGAGATGTTATCAGTGTGCACCCTACAGCTTACTCTGTTTTCTTTTATTTTTTTGCTGGCACTGCCTGCCATGGACACTAAATTGTAAGTGACACTGAAGGGAGAAAGGGTTCCATGCTCTTTATGCTATACATGAGGCACAAAGAATAGAACTGGCATAGATTACAGCTTCAGCTGGAAGTCTTGATGCTGCTTCACCTGTACAGTGATTCTTACTGGATATATAATGATTTGCAAGTGTTCTTCCATTTGGGATCTGAACTCAGTGATAGGTTGTACTTTATGCAGCCTGTTGAATCATTTGTTTACTGCATTACAATTTAAACCAGCTTACCCTTCAAAACAACCTTTCTATTACAAAAAATATAAAATCATATATATAAAAAAAAATATACAAAGGCTGCTCCAAAAGTAATGCCTCCCATTTATGATGTTGGCCTTCAACATCAGAAGTGGATATTGTGGTATGGCAGTAGAGTTGAACCTTCTCACAAACATTTCATTACATTTTGTTGCTATGTGACAAAGGGCAGCAGTAGGGCTTTCTGATAAAATGGCATGTGACGTGGAAGTGTGTATGAAAAGAAAGTGTGGCATCAAATGCCTCCATGCTAAAAAAATGGCATCCAGTGACATACACTGATGCTTGCTGAACTTTTATGGAGACTGAACAGTGGATGTGAACACAATGAGGTTGTCATGAAAGCCAAGCCGTGTTCCAGACAGTCATACATATTATTATAAGCATGGAATGCAGGCTCTTGTTCATCTCTGGCAAAAATGCACAGCTAATGGTGGTGTCTGTGTTGCAAAATAATGTTCTGTAGCTGAGAATTTGCTCTATCAAATGGTGTTATATCATGCTTTGTATGTGTTGTAGTTTCCATGGAAATAAATAGGAAGCATTACTTTATATAAAGTAAACCAAGATGACCTGGTGAGAAAGGCCTGAAACTAAATATTCAGCCTAAATTACTGACTTTTGTCAGTAATGTTTTCTCCATATCTTGCTTTTTGTGCATAAAGGAAGAGTCCTTTCTCTAGCCTTATCAAAATTACTGTGAATACTAAGAGTGATGCCATTAATAAGTTCAGCAGCTGCTTGATAAAGGCAAGTAGACCAAATGTTCTGCTATTCAATTAGTAGTGTTAGAAGGAAAAACTATTAAATTTGAGGATTTATGTATAAATACAGCTTCTAAAGTAATGTGTTTCTTTTCTTGAATATATGTCTTTGATGTGCTTTATTCTATTACATAATTACACGGAATCACAGAACTATATGGCTGCAAGGGACCTCTGGAGATCAAGTCCAACCTCTTTCTAAAGCAGGTTCCCTACGGTAGGTCACACATTTGTCATGTGTCAATATTTTTTTAAAAGTTTTCCTGTTTATCTACACTTGACCGAGCTTTTTAATTTGGAGACAATCTTCCTGAATGTTTTTTAAATTAATATAGTATTGTTATCATTACATAGAATGTAACACTTCTTATTTTGAATAAGCTGCCATACGTATTTGATAATAAAGTAGATAAACTGGAAATTATTTCGTCTTCTGAAATACCATATACACATAGCAATTCTGGTAGAAATCGTTACAATCTAAAATCACAAATCATTTAACAGTCTTCATGTTTACAAGTGAACTTTTAGTAAAATTCTAGCTATTCAATATTTTTCTGAACTGCTAAAATAGGATTTAGTTCAACTGGAAGCTGATTTGCAGTTTCTAAGACATAAAAAATGCAGCCATGAGCAAGGATTGATTATCACTACCTGTCCATTCAGAGATGCTGCCTGTAATTATGAACCTTAATTTGAAAGAAAGATAATAGGCAATTCCTGGCAAGGAACAGTCAGATTTTAAGGTAGAATTAGATTGCAAAATCTATAAACTTCTGCCAACTGAGTGGCCAATACAGCAATATCTGTCCAGGAGATATTTGGAGTGTACTGACAATAACTTCTTGACAGGTGACTGAGGAGCTGAGGAGGGGAGGCGCTGTGGTGGACATAGTGTTGTTAATGAAGAATTGCATCTGAATGTT